GGGGGGGGGTAGGAGAGGAGACAAAACCGTGAAGCCACAATTACAGCCCTGTGTTGGGTGCTATGGGAGTCCAGCTTAAAATGGGTAAGTAGTGCTGGGAGGTAGAAGGTTGAAAGAAGGCACATGCCTGGCACGTTCTAGGAATGCTGCAAGTCTTTATTAAAGAAATGAAAGAGCGGGTAATTCGTGGGTGGTTCTGCTTCCTGCCCCCTCTCCTGGTTTTGTTCCAGCAGACAGTTAATGAGCCACTCTCTTGAGTTCAGGAGGAAGGCCAGCTAGGCCCATCTTGACATTCTTCCCTTCTTCACTCACGTTGGCCATTCCTGCCGAGAACCTCGAGTTTTAGGATCAAAATGGGCATCCCTAGGGAGAAAAATCATCGGTATGAGTGTTTTTACTCTGGTCCTGACTCCTTGACTTTGGACGTGCAAACTTGTGTTATGTGCACTTGTGTGTGTTTCGGGGGAGAGGAGCAGTGGATTTCATCAATTTCTCAGGAGTCTAGAGCCCCCAAATAGTTAAGAACACTGGCTTGGCAGTGGATGATCCCTGAAAGGAATGAACTTGGCCTGGTTGTTCCTCTGATGACCCCAAGTCACCACACATTGGATTTTCGCTAAAAAGTGTGTGTTTGCACATTGCTGTGCAAGAGTAGCGTTCTGTTTTGTTTTTAAGAATTTGTCTTATTTTCCCCACCAAACCGGCCGATGACGCCATGCCCTCTGCTGGCCTGCCTGTGGTTGCCAAGGTCCAGGGCTTCCTATGTGGTTGCCGTGCAGTCACTATAATTACTTTAACTGACTTCAGTGGTGTGTGTAAGGAGGACAGTCTGGAAGGCAGGCACAGACGGGACAGCTTTTCTTCTGAGTTGAACATAAATTCATGCCCTTACTGAATTTGGGTCTGTTTCGTTGTGGAACCTACTCAATGTCAAGTTCTAAGCCATGACGCGTCTTTTTTTGGAGAAGCGTGAACTCAGGAGAAATCTGGCTGCCTTGTCATGCCCGCACCCTTGCATCCTGCAAGCACACAAACCGTTCCAAGTAACAGGAGATATTCCAGGCAGGGCCAGGCTGAGCTCTGCCTTCTTGGGAGAGTGATCCAGTGACCCTGAACGTCTGTTGGTCTCATATCCACCAACCCCTGCAGCCTCCAGTCAACATCCCCCTCCTTCCAGCTTCTGCTGCTAGAGCCCCAGCCCTTTCTCTCTCGCCTAGAAGCCTTGCCCCCGCCCCCTTGCGCAGGGCCCCAGCTCTAGCTCTGGGCTCTTCCCTTGTCACACCTCCCTCCGCCCAGACAAACACACTGGCTGGGGGAAGGTTCCTCCTGTTTCGTCCCCACCCACTCTGGGTCTGAGCTGGCGGAGATGGACCATCCAACACCCAAGGTCCTCCTAGCCAGGCCCCGCTGCCCCTCCCTACGAATGTGGGCTTTGGAGGCCAGCAGCGGGAGGTTCTCAGTGCCACCCTCCATCAGGTAGCTGTCACCGAGGATCCACGGGCTGAAAGAGCGTGTTTCTGTGCCGGGTGGGGGCTGGTTTATTTAGAGCCAGGCAGCTGTGGAGGGCAAAGCTTTGAGTGAAGCAGTGTAGACAGTCATAGCTGTGGTGTGTGCAGCCCTTGGGTGGGGGCACCGTCACCCTTACCCTCACCAGCCTTCTTCCTGCGTGGAAATGCAGCATCTCTCACTTGACCCTGCCACTCTGGGTCCTGGCTGCCTGCCCTCTGACGCTCCTGCCCTCCACCCTGTGCAGCAGGAACCCGGCCATGGTGAACGAACCCAGAGGGGATGGTGGCCCCATGTCCCGCTCGGAGGGCAGCAGCAGTGGCAGCGAGAGCTCCAAGGATAGTTCGAGATGTTCCACGCCGGGGCTGGACCCCGAGCGCCACGACAGACTCAGGGAGAAGATGAGGCGGAGGATGGAATCTGGTGACAAGTGGTTCTCCCTAGAATTCTTCCCTCCTCGGACCGCTCAGGGAGCCGTCAATCTCATCTCGAGGTGCGCTGATGTCCTTAGGAAATAGGGGCCGAATGAGAGGGGTGGGGGAGGGAAACCAGCAGCCTGGGGGCAGGGCCACACTTTGACCCGGCAGAAGAAGGCCACCAGAGGGGGTGGAAAAGAGCGGGGGAGATCATCTGAGCGGCAGCTTCTCGGCTGTCAATAAAAGTCCCTGCAAGCGACTTGGAATTTTTAGAGTCACACACTGCACGCAACGGGTTAAAAATGTTCATTCTCTCAGACCGCATTCTTTGGCGGAACTTGGGGCTGGTGCACAAATACAGTTTAGGAAGTCATAAAGCAGCGGCTTGGAGAACATTTTCCACAAGTTAGGAATTTGACTTAGGCCTCTTGAAATCTAGAAACGCGAAATGAGTTACGTTAGCACGTTATGAATTGCAGTTCCTTTTTTAAGAAAGAAAGTGTCTGCTTTTTACCATTTGTATCTTCCATGTGTCGCTCTCACGGTTTTGAGGTTTAAAGGCACAAGGATGTTTAAATACCCTGTTACAGCTCGTGCACACGTGCACACCTGTGGCTCTTCGGGAATCGTGGCCTTGTTCCATAAGGCCGCTGGCCGCTGCACCGCAGCCGGGAGGCAGCATGAAAGAAACCTGTGTCTGCCGACCCTCTTTTCTCCCCGTTCCTAGAGTGAGCCTCTGTTTGCCACTCTGAGAGTTCCCCAAACCTCTGACCATCGAAGTGTCTTAGCTCACCCGAGATAATGAGCGTGCAAACGCTTTGAAAAGGCTGATGTACTGCTCTCACACGAAAGGGTTTTGCTGTTGCTCATCAGTTATCTCTACAGTCATCATCATCATCGAAGCTCACACTGCCTGAGTGCTCGGTGTATACCAAGCACTTTTCTAAGAGCTGTGGAACTGTCTATGGTAGTACTTCCGTAGTGTTATCACGAAGTAGGTACCGTTCTTCACACGTTTTTGCAGTGAAGAAACTGGGGCTCAGACAGATCAAGTAATTTTCCCGAGATCACACAGCTAATAAGCAGCAAAGCCAGCAGGAGATGAATGGAGGTGGCCCGATTACCACTTGGGTGTGATGGTTCCCTAACCCCTGGGCCCCAAGGGAAGGTGGTGAAGGGTAGTGTGCTCTCAGGAGCCCCTCTTCAGAAAGAAATTCCATACAGGTTTGATCGGATGGGGGCAGGTGGCCCCCTCTTCATAGATGTGACCTGGCACCCGGCCGGGGATCCCGGCTCAGACAAGGAGACCTCCTCCATGGTGATCGCCAGCACTGCCGTGAACTACTGTGGCCTGGAGACCATCCTGCACATGACCTGCTGCTGTCAGAGCCGGGAACAGATCACGGGCTATCTGCGCAAGGCCAAGCGGCTGGGCCTGAAGAACATCTTGGCGTTGAGGGGAGGTGTGGAGCCCGCACTCTGCTATCTGGGATCTCACTTCCTCGAAGGCCTCTTCTGTCCCTGGAGCGGTCCTTTACTTTTCTCTGGGTCCCACACTGAGCGCGCTCAGTCCCCTCCCTGCCAGTAGTGTCCATGGGCACTGTGGGTAGTGAGCACTGTGGGTACCACACACATGGAGCCACTTCTTGACCTCCTGACCCCGGCGCAGTTCAGGCAGGAATGCAGCCAGCGCCTGATAACCCTCTGCCCTGGCTGCACACAGCTTCATCGATCGCTGGCTGTACCCAGCCCTGGGCCCAATCAAAGAGTGTGGTTCTGGCATTAATCCCAGGGGTGAGACCGTCGCTGGTGCCTCTAGTACCTGTTGTCCCACCCAAGTGTGAGAAGGAGGAGCCGGACGGGTGGCATTCTGTGGCCTCGTGCCCTCCACAAGAACTCACTTGAGTAGACATTCTTCCAGGAGGCAAGAGGTCCAAGAGGGCGGGAGAGTAAGCAGTAGGGTTGGGTGAGGGTGCCTGAACACAGCCAGATTTGGGTAGGGAAGGGGTCTCCGACGCCCCAGGCTAACTGAGGAGGCGCAGCTGCCCCCTGGTTAGCCCTGCCGGCGCACTGCCCGCAGAGTCGGTGCTCGGTAAGCGTTTGGCAGGATGGCCACGGTCTTCCTGGCCACCATTTGCCAAGTGCCACTCTGGGAGGAAGGGACACGCACCCTGGAGGAAATCAAGGCTCTACCTCTGAGGAGCTGACAACCCAGGTGGGGGGTGGGGAGAAGGAACAAAAAGGCTGTCTGGAGGGTGGGTGACACCCAGTGACTGTGACCTCTGCCACCCCTGCAGACCCCGTGGGTGACCAGTGGGAAGAGGAGGAAGGAGGCTTCAGCTATGCTGCAGACTTGGTGAGGCACATCCGAAGCGAGTTTGGAGACTACTTTGACGTCTGTGTGGCAGGTGAGTGGCTGGGCCTTCCCAGTGCTTGGGGACAGGGGAGGGAAGGAATGACACGCCCAGGGGGCACAGAATGCCCACCAGCACTCAGTTCAGGACCCGATATCCCAGGGCGCCGTGGGCCGGAGCCTGTGCCAGGTGAGGGAGGCTCAGGGCTGCATCACACAATGCCCTTGCTCTCATCGTCTTGCCCCACCCTTTGAATTTTTACTCCTCTGCCTTTTTGCACTCTTACCTTGCTTCCTAGCCCTATTCTGCTTCCTTAAACAAAAAGAATATTTATTAAGATGGTGGGGGGGGGGGCAAGGAATCTCAGAACCCCAGTCAGGAAATGGCATCTGACCTCACTAGGCCCCAGCTCAGAAAGCAGTCAGAAACCAAGGCCTCCCTCATTCTGTCTGGAGCCACAGAGTCCCCCCCCACCCCACCCCGACCCCCTCTCTGCCTCCCACCGCACATTTGCTCCATGCTTCCGATAGATCGGATAGGTCTGCTTTTACACACACTGACCAGCTGCCAGCTGCTAAGTGTACATGATCACGTCCAGCCAATAGTCCGGACTGACCGACAGGTCTCAGTATCGGTTCTGAATTCTCAGGAGAGAGCACTGGCTCAGCTCAGCGTCCGTTCTGTGGGCTACAGCCAAGAGGCAAGGTTCACTTGCTGGAAGTGGCCTTCCCTCTTACCCCCGCTTACTGGGATTGGGCCTCAGCTTCTCAAACCAGGGCTTGGGTATGGTGAAGCAGATGTGCCAGGGATACAAGAAGTCCAGGGATTGCTTTGACACATCATTTAGCGTGACAACTTTTCTGAAACTTTTGGGAAAATCATATCATTTTTGTATTAAAACAAACATAGCCACATTCTGGAAGTAGCATGTCAAAGTGACGTGATTTTTAAAAAATAAGCCACGTGGCTTCAAGGTAGCTAGTTGTTGCCTATGGCTTTGGGTTTAGTCCCAGGCCCCCATGTATGTATCCACTTTTCACAGTCAACAGGCGTGTTTAGGTGAGTGTAGGAGGCCCTGATGAGGAGTTAGGCACATGGCGGGCATTGCCACCTGTTCAAGTGTTAGCTGCCCACACTGGCCACCCTTGGGTCAGTTAATTGAGGAACATGCACATGTGCAGTAGGCATTACGTGCATGGAGACTGGCTGAGCTGTGAGCTTGCAGGTGCCGAGGGGTCTGGTGCTTCGCCTGTCATAAAGTGGGCGAGAAGGCTGATCCTAGGGTTGGAAAACAGCAGATTGGGGCTGTGACAGAAAATACAGTAAATGGAGCAAAATCTAAATGTAAGTATGTGCTGTGTTTGCTGATACTGATGATTTATAGCTCTAGTCTCAGCTGCGAAAATCTCCTTGTTTTTGAAATTCCTGCTGGAAGAACAGCTTGTTATTGAAAGTGAAATTGTGGTGCTCAGTCCCTCCCATGTTTCACCCCTTGAAACAAGAGTTTTTATCTTCCTTTTTGACTTGCAGTTTCTTCAGAACAAAACTGCCTTTATCACAGCAAAGCAGGCTTGCTCTCTGCAGCCTGGCTCAGGGTCCTGCCCAGGGCTGAGGCTGAGGAAGCCAGCACTCCCGATAGCTTCATTTTTTTTTTTTTT